ATGGTTTCTCCAGCCTCCTCCGGTCTCTACCTGGTGCCACTGGACGAGTGAAAGTTGGGGAAGTTCTTTTAGTAAAGGGTCTCTGGATCTGATCATTCTCCCAGCAAATTGAAGCTTTTTAGTATTTTCTCACCAAATCTACTTCTAGCACCTATTGTGTTCATGACCGGTGTCGCCATATGGGCAGTCGGACTCCAGGACAACCCTCCCACATACCTAACCCAATAACTCACTGACACGAAGCTATATGGGAAAATTTGTCCACAGCTTTATTTAAAACAATCTTGAATAATAACAATTTATTAATTTCCATATTAATAACCATAGCAATAATAATTTATCAATAAACATGGGTCATTGCCCCCATACTCCGCCCTTGCATCCGAATCCTTCTGTTAATATAAAAGGCAATGACCCCCATATAAACAACACATATACATTATATATATATATATATATATATATATATATAACATACATATCAACATATTCCAACATACCAACTTAAAGTGCCAAACATAAATTAACCATGGCAGGGGTATACCCAGATACCCCTGCCCCACCAGATTCTGAGCCACCAACAGGACTCGGAACCTACCAACCACCAATGACCACAGTTTTACGTCTCCATGACGTTCATCCTAGGGAGCCTATTTCTTCTCCTTCAGCTCCCTATCCCGCCGCTGTGAAAAAACGGGATAACCCAAATGCGTTACCAAATTCAGGGAGGGTGGGCGGGACAAACTCGGCAAGGTAGTAATTAAAAGTGAAAGATTTAAAATGGCTGCCTATTTAAATAGCCAAGCCTCCTTACCCATAACTCCATTCCCTCCTTGCTTCCTCCTATGCCCCTGTCAAGGCCTTTTTTCGCTTAGCTGCGCTTTGGCTACATGGGGCTACATTTCCTGAGACCAAAGATACTATTTTACAGCGGAGGTAGCGAGCTTTGAAAGCTGTATATAGGTTTCTTCTTTAAGTGTGCATCAATTTTAAGTAACCTTTAGAGTGAAGCTGACCCACAAATACATTAGCTGATACCTGCAGAATGTGTTTGTGGTTTATATCCAGTGTGTAACACAATCCGAACTCACCCTCTGGTTCCCATAGGCATGTGGCCAATTTGTTGCTTTGAGCTTTCCTAATACTGCAGGGGATTATTACTAAATGAATTTCTAATGGATTATTTCAAAGGTAAAATGGGATTGCAACATGCAATATAATGGCTCTCTATGTACTGCTAGCATACTGTATCCTTGGCTGCCCGAGAAACCAGTTTCAGGGTAGAAATTAACCTGTTGGTTGCTGTGCATGAGAAAAAAGTTAACCTGTAGAAGATTGAGGTTTCAGCCCCGGGGGTGAAGCTGCAAGTAGTCACTCAACCATAATGACTGTCTCTTCCCCCGACTGCACTCATATGACAGTTACTGCCTGTGTTATATTGGGACTGTCCCTTTGCAGGTTTGGGATTTTATGCAAATAGTGTTAATTTAAAAGAAAACACCTACCTGTGTTAAAGCAAATATCAACTAGAACCAAGCTGAAGGACATCAGTGCTTAAACGTTATTCTAGAACTTTAAGTATGTTTCGTTTCCACGCGCCTTTTTATCAATAGCTCCTCCTGGAAAATCACTGTTTCTTATTTGAGAATTAACGTTCCTTATTCGAGGATTAACATACTACCTCTGCTTTTTAATGGATCATATGGATTTGTTTTTACATAAAATAACCATAAAAAAATGGTCAATCAACAAAATATTATAAGAGGAGGTGACGCAGGTCTTAGCAAAACAAACAATTGTTTGTTGATATAATATTATTCCTGCTATTGAGCCAAAAGTAAGTGGACTAAACAGGCAAAGAAACATCTGGGTAAGAAAGAAATGCTTATGGAGGGGTGGGGGTGGTGAGGGGGGATTTTGAGGGTTAGTGCACAACTCGTGTAGACATGACGGAATTCTAAAATATATTGACGTGTAATATCTGCATATTAGAAGGCAAATACTATACCAGATCTATACGGATTCTCAGGATCAGTGTTTTTCACAATTCACCCGAAATTCCATACGCAATATGCAGATGAAACCACCCACTTCTATAGGCTTCCTTATATGTTTTCTGCTGTTTTAAACACAGATAAATCATTAGGCAGCCATGGAAAGCTATTCCATTCTCCTGTGGCGCCTCGGTATGGCCATGACTTCGTTTATTCATTGAATTATTCACCACATTCAGAACGTTAATAAAGTTAAAGGGACACTATAGGCATCAAAACTACTTAAGCTTAAAGGACCACTCTAGGCACCCAGACCACTTCAGCTTAATGAAGTGGTCTGGGTGCCAGGTCCTTCTAGGCTTAACCCATTTTTTCATAATTATAGCAGTTTCAGAGAAACTGCTATAATTATGAATGGGTTAAGCCTTCCCCCTAATCCTCTAGTGGCTGTCTCATTGACAGCCACTAGAGGCGCTTGCGTGCTTCTCACTGTGATTTTCACAGTGAGAGCATAGCGTCCATAGGAAAGCATTGTAAATGCTTTCCTATGCGACCGGCTGAATCGCGCGCAGCTCTTGCGCGTGCGCATTCAGCCGGCGGGCGGATGAGGCGGAGAGGAGGAGGAGAGCTCTCCGCCCAGCGCTGGAAAAAGGTAAGTTATTACCCCTTTCCCCCTTCCAGAGCCGGGCGGGAGGGGGTCCCTGAGGGTGGGGGCACCCTCAGGGCACTATAGTGCCAGGAAAACGAGTATGTTTTCCTGGCACTATAGTGGTCCTTTAATGGAGTGGTTTTGGTGTATAGATCATGCCTCTGCAGTCTCACTGCTCAATGGATGTCAGGAAAACAACCACTGAAGGTGTATATAACAATTCAATGTAAACATTGCCGTTTCCACAAAATGTTTTACATTGCAGGGTTAAAATGACAGGACTACAGTACCCAGACCACCAATGGTCTGGGCGACCTTTGGGGTCCTTTAAACAACAGCAAAACATTTTGAGCCAATGTGAGCATCGAAGAGCAAAGCATTATGGTCAGGTTACCAAGTTCCGAGTTGTCACACTTTTTGCCATCACTTGATATCATAGATGGTTTTAGGGTTTTGAACATTATCATAAATTATTTTAAATAAGTGATATGTCTGCAGTTAGCCACAAGAATTTTCCAGTGTGATCCTCCGTATATTCTATCATTAAAGCACAAAAGCAATATGTGCCGTGCACTCTATGTTCAGCCTATTAATGGTTTTAGAAGCACAGAAATTGTGGATGGGTCTTACGTAATGCTTTAAAAACCTGTGCATTAGGAGAATGACTAGCAATTTAGTAATAAAGATCAGGAAACAGAATTAAGCATTTAATGTATATTGCTAGATTTCTCAGTCGTAATGTAATGTTTACAAAGCCTTTACTTTATTTTTTCCCTCCATGGATCACAAAACGTTCAGGATTCACAACAAAACAAACTTCACTGCACAAAATAAATCATTTTTTCCCCCTTATTATTTAAAGGCACTTAAAGGGTTACTCACACCACCATGACCACTTTATTGATTTGAAGTGATCTTGGTAGTGAAACAATGAAACCATGCACATACTGAGCTACAGGTAATTATGTTTAAGGGGCAAGTTGCACCCTCAACATACATGACTTGGGCAATTCTGTGCATAATTACATATTTTATTAGAGCACACTGCATGCTGACAACAAATGTTCACATTTTCCCCCTGCAAACAACCTCCCTCGAACTGACTCCTTCCACCATCTCCTACCCTCCCCTTCCCGACCCAGCACGAGCACATGTGCTCCGAGTTGGCAGTGGGTCCAATCACAGTCTTCACAACGAGAAGCCTGTGGTTAGGACCGCACGCAAACCCAGTGATGTCAGAATTGCGCAGAAAAGCACAGGTGATTTAAATCTTTTATTTAAGGTATTACTGCAGATAGTGCCCAGTAGGAAAAGTCTCCCCTCTTAATAGGGTTATCGTATTCCTTAAAAACAATTATTTCAGTTAAGGGGGGCGTGGCTTGGAAGCCGAGAATGATGGCGGCGTAATCCCGGAGCTCCCCTGCAGGCCAAGCACAAACCCTCCTCGTAGCACCTATACCCCGGGCAGAAATGGGTAAAACTCACCGGGCACCGACCACCACCAAGCCGACGGACACGCCGAAGGGCACAGCTGCCGCTTCACTTCGGCAATTCCTCGTGACGCCCACAGATGCGGCCGCACGGACCTGCACAGCCTCTGAAACCGCCGACGTTTCCCACCCAGCGTCGCCACGAGACAGCCGCCAGATGCAACAGGCCCAGACCCCTCCGGACCCTCAACCGGACTGGTTTCAATTAATCCAGGCCCTACCTACAAGACAGGACCTGAAAGAGGCTAATTCAGAGCTGAGAGCCTCCATCACAGCAGAACTACACTCCCTCCGGGAGGACATCCAGGGCCTCCACACTAAAGTGTCCCAATTAGAAGCGGACACCGACCATCTGTCCTCCGCTCAGTCTGCGAATACAGACGCGATACACCATCATACAGCGCAAATGAGACAAATGGCCCTGCACATGGAGGATCTGGATAATCGTGGCAGGCGCCAAAACATACGGGTGCGCGGCATCCCAGAAGACCTAGACCAAACAACGCCAAGAGCAGACACCCTTAAAGAACTATTTAAAAAGCTCCTGGGCCGCCCAGCTTCCACCGCAATTGAGTTTATTAGAGCCCACCGCGCACTAAGACCGAGGGGCCCTCCGGGGGCTCCCCCAAGGGACACAGTCTGTTGCCTGGCCTGCTTCCGCCTAAAGGAGGACATCCTCCAGAAAGCACGAAGCACAGAAAAGGTGCTGCTGAATGGCGCGGAACTCCAGCTGTACCCGGACCTTTCCCCGGCTACCCTGGCTTACCGACGGGCGATGAAGCCCCTTAAGAGAATCCTCCAAAGCAACAGGATCAGATACCGGAGGACCTGAGTGATCTTGCCGCAGCTCCCACCCATCACCATGACATGGCCGGACCCCCTCGCTTTCTACACGACGCCACCGCTGAACCAGGGGCTCCAGCCACAGCAACACAGAAGCAGTGGGACCCGACAACAGGCCACTCGGCCCTCGGGGACGGCGGCATAAGAGACAACCGCTGGCAGCTGCAGCACATAACCGTAAGTACCACCAACCGGGACTCACCCTTTAATAGGGGTACCAACCCCCTTATGGACACTGGGGGAAACGAGACTGTTCTCCTAAACCACATCAAGCTGTGAGTTGTGAGTTGGGGGGACGGGCACACCAGGGGGGGCAACTACCCAGCTCACGCACCCTGGGGGGGGAAGGCACTGGGGAAGCGTAAGGGGAGCACGTTACCGAAGGCAGTCAGAGGGTGAAGCTACCTGCTCAGCTAGACACTGCCATAGGGCAACACGCACATGCCTACTAGACGAGCCCCTACCCACAGGGGAAGCTACTCGCCCCCGAGCACACAAACGAGCTAGCATCCATGGTACAACAGACGGGCTACACACGGCTTGACACCACCGGGGTTACCGGGGGAAGGGGGGAGCCGGCTGGAGGGGGCCACACCTAGGGACCAAAACCATTGCGTAGGGACCAACCCCAGGGGGGCAGCGACCCCCGCCCAGGCGCATTCACCAAGGCTGACCCGAGGGGGGGGGGGGCGAAGGGAATGGGGGAGGTAAATTCCGGAGCTCCTTTAGGACTGGGGCCCGCCGCTGGGGCCCTGACCGCCCTGCGATGACCCAACCGAGCAGGGGGCGGGCCCCACCGGGGGGTCCCACTCACACACGGACAAAGGGTGGGGAGGACACGCTGAAGAGGGACCCGGGCACGGGTTAGAGAGAGAGGGGCACCTGAGAGGAGGGCCGGTAGGGGACGACCCGAACCATCCCTGGAGGGGCAGAGGGACCCGTCACAGGTGCCAGAGAGGGGGAGGTACGGGAGCGAAGGTTAGGTACTCAGCTAGGTCCGCAATCAGGTTATAAAGCAGGCAGCTGCATGCTACAACCAAGTTCACAGTTTAAAGTTTAGTCCTAAGAAAAGGTTTATTAAGTTTAAATGCAAAATTGTTTTGTTATCTAATTCTTATTTGCCTACGTACATGACAGGCGCCTGAGACGGCGGCTTGACCTATGACCCGGAGCCCAACACACAGGAACTTTACCGAGGAGGACGTTCATAACGACCAGAACCTGACAGATAGAGCCGACAGGGGGACTACACGGACCAAATGGACCGAGAAACGCAACTCAGGTACACATCTACCACCGACATACGCACGGACGCAGGGAGGACTGGTTCCACCCAAAGTCCCTTAGCTTCCTTCTACTGCCCCAAAGGACCCAGCGACACAGACAGGCGAGCAGCAGCCGCGGACCACAGGTGGCCACTGGCTAAACCGCTCCCCGTCGCTGACACCTCACTGTCACCTTATAGTGACAAAGATACGCACACCCACACCCCATAAATCCCTCATCCCCCTTCCCCTCCCCCCCTTTCCTTCTCTTTCTTCTTTTCCTACAACCCCCACCCGACCTACGACACAGACACAGACAGGACACAGACGCGTACAGATCCCTTGACTGGACTGGGACCCAAGGACGAAACGATGCGGCCACACTCACACACAGACACGAAGGCACTGGTGCCGGACTGTCTCTCTGTCCTCTCCATAAACGCCAGAGGTCTCAATAAACCGGAGAAGCGCTCAGGAGCGCTGAGAGACTTCCACGCTAAACGAGCCTCGATAGTATTAATACAGGAGACACACTTCAAGGACGGGTCCAGGCCCAAATTGACAAACCATCACTACCCCACGGGATACTACAGTGACTACCACGCAGGGAGGTCCAGAGGCACGGCCATTCTAGTTCACAAAAATATACCTTTTGTAGAAACGGGACAGCTGACGGACAGGGAGGGCAGATTCCTCTTCCTCAAGGGCACAATAGCAGGACAGGCCTATACATTCGCAAACATCTACGCCCCGAACACCCGACAATACAGATTCCTAGCACGCACACTTAGGAAACTAAGGCCCTTCACGGAGGGAATCGTCATAGTGGGGGGCGACCTAAACGTAGCGCTCAATCCGCGGTGGGACACCTCCGCCGGACGATCGTGGGTCCCGGCGCAAAACCTAAACTCAATCAAGACCCTTCTAACTCGCCACCAGCTGATAGATTGCTGGAGGGCCTATCACCCAGACGAGAGGGATTATACGTTTTTCTCCCACGTGCACAACACTTACACCAGGCTAGACTACCTTTTTACCACGCACTACCATCTACCAGTAACTAACGCTGCAGAACATGGGGTGGCGACATGGTCAGACCATGCGCCGGTAACCCTAACACTCTCGTCCTCCCTGTACAGACCCCGGCACAACAAATGGAGGCTTAACGAATACCTCCTTACTAGGCCCGACTTCACGTCTGAGGTTAACGACACACTCAAAGAATACTTTGAGACGAACACAACCGAACACACCTCACCGACCATTAGATGGGAGGCACACAAGAGCGTGATACGAGGACACTTCATCCGCCAGGAGTCCACCCTTAAAAAGCAGACCGACAGCCGTCTAACTGACCTAGTGGCCGAAATACACAGGGTGGAAACACTCAACAAAAACACCCAACAAACGGCACACCAGGTGACACTACTACAACTCAGGCGGGACCTGACGAGCCTCTTACATAGGAAACACCACAGAGACGTAACCAGACATAAGGCCTTCTTCTTACTTCACGGCAATAAAAGCGGTAAGCTACTGGCCAGAATGCTAGCCAAACAGAGACAAAGGACGTACATCGATAAAATGAGGGACGGGCAGGGCACCCTACACCACCTACCCTCTAAAATCCTCGACATAACGCGGGATTACTACGCGAACCTATATGCCCTCCCTCGGCCCCCCCTAGACAGGGCGAGGGACAGCCTGCGGGAGAAAATACAAGCCTACCTGTCAGCCCACCCCCTCCCGTCCATAGACCAGGAAACCGCAGAAAGCCTAGACGAACCAATTTCGATAGAGGAACTAGCTTATGCCATTAAAGTGACGAAACAAGGTAAAAGCCCCGGTCCGGACGGGCTCCCATTAAAGTATTATAAAACGTTCGCGGAACACCTATACCCCCCTCTCCTAGACGCCCTGAACGCACTAAGGGAAGGACACCACCTGCCAAAACAGTCACTGACCGCACACATCGCACTCATCCCGAAGGAAGGTAAGGACAGGGAACATTGTGGGAACTACAGGCCCATCTCACTTATCAACTGCGACGTCAAACTGTTGGCAAAGATACTGGCCACACGCCTCCAGACACACATCCCCACATTAATACATCCAGACCAGGTTGGCTTCGTCATGGGCCGTGAAGCGAGAGACAACACGATCAGGGCACTGACGCTCATGCACAGACGTAATTGCGGGGACGAGGGCGTTCTACTGCTGTCCACGGACGCAGAGAAGGCCTTCGACAGAGTCGACTGGCAATACATGTTCCACACACTGGCCCACACTGGGCTGGGACCGCACTTCCGGAGATGGGTCGAGGCGCTGTACGACGGGCCCACCGCCCACATTATAGTAAACGGAGCCCTGACGAGTGACTTCCCCATCACCAACGGCACGCGGCAGGGGTGCCCCTTATCACCCCTGCTTTTTGTGCTGACACTCGAACCCTTCCTGACGCACATACGACAGGACGCAGCAATCAGGGGCATTGGACATGGAGACACACAACACAAAGTCGCGGCATACGCCGATGACCTCCTCTTCTTTATCACTAACCCGGAGGTCTCGCTCCCGAATATCCTGAAGGCCTTCAGGACCTTCGGGGAGATATCCAACCTCAAGATCAACTTCACAAAATCATACATCTTGAACGTTAGTATACCAGAACACAGAGCCGCCCCCTTAAAGCAGAGCCACACATTCCAATGGGCACAACATCAAATACAATACCTAGGCACATGGCTGACGAGGAGGGAACCTGATCTATTCAGACACAACTTCATCCCCCTACTAAACAGGTTCCGTAAAGACCTGTCGGATTGGGCATACCCACACATATCCTGGCTGGGCAGGGTCCAGGTTATAAAAATGAACCTGCTCCCACGCCTACTATACCTCATGCAAGCCCTACCCATTACCATCCCCAGATCATTCTTTCAGGCCCTGCGACAGGAAACCGGGAAATATATTTGGGACCGCAAAAGACCGAGGGTCAAACTAGCCGCACTGACGCTGCCCAAGGACAGGGGGGGACTGGCCATACCAGACTTCTCCCTGTACTATGAATCCTGTCACCTCCAACGAATTATGGAGTGGACAAAAGAGAAGGTGCATAAGAGATGGAAAGAGGCAGAGGAAACGGATGCGGGGATACCGCTGTCCATCGTCCCATGGCTGGGGAGGGGAGGGAGTGGGAGACAGGGCACACCATATACAACCGCAACCCTACAGGCATGGGAGAGAGTAGCACAGAGATGCAGACTAGCGCCATTCCCATCCCCCCTTCTCCCTCTCACGCATAACGACAGCTTCCCACCGGGGCTAGACCCCAACACATTCAGGGACTTAATCCGACATAAACTACCCAGACTACACCACCTCCTGGCAGGCACGGAATGCAAAACACTCCCGACCCTATTAGAGGGAGCAACCCCCACCCTCCTACACCACCTAAAACACAGACAGCTACAGAGCTATGTACACACCCTCCCGGGGGGCACGGCACGGAAACGTGATCCTACCACATTTGAAAGAATGTGCATGGACCCAGACCCGCAACCACACGGGATCTCACTCATTTACTCCATGCTACAGAGGGAAACACCAATGGAGAAACCCAAATTCATGGGGAGATGGGAACAAACATTGGGGAAAACTTTCACAGACGGGGACTGGGAAAAGATATGCTACTTAACGCATCACTGCTCAGTCTTCAGCAAAACACAAGAAGCGGCGTTTAAATTGTTAACGAACTGGTACCGCACCCCGATTGCACTCCATGCCATGGACCCGGAACACACGGATCTCTGCTGGAGGTGTAATAGAGAGGCCGGCACAGTACTCCACCTTTGGTGGGCCTGCGAAGCCATAAAGCCCTTCTGGTGGGGTATACATGGCTTTCTCAAAACCTTCTCAGACACGCCACCCCCCTTCCTCCCAGAACACATGCTCCTTCACCATACAAAGTCACCTAGAACGAGATACAAGCACTCACTAACCATTAGAATCCTAAACGTTGCCAAACAGGTGATCCCTCAATTCTGGAAGCAACAAACGACACCCCCGTTGACATCCTGGTTCTCCCAAATGGAGGAACTCAGAGCCATAGAGGAACTCATTATGACCACACCCAACTCCTTGAATAGGTACACGGACATATGGACCCACTGGATACTGACTACTACCAAGGCAGAATTCACAACCAGACTCCAATACGACACATAAGGACACAGTGACGAAGCCGCATAGACCGACAAATACAGAGACGACCTAGACAGACGTGACCCAGACGCGGACGCACCCCGACCCCCCACCTCCCCAGACGCCACTACCCGGACATCCCCCCCAATCCCAAACACTGAGTGCGAACAGACAGGCACTTGGCATACGCCAATGACAACATAAGAGAAGATTTATAAGGCCTCCGGGAAGACGCTCACTCCTCCATGAGGGGACAACAGAACATATGACACCCACGTGCACGTTCTCCAGATCAGGCCACGGGACTTAACGCTGGGCTCAGAGGGGCCAGCGGACCCACCCTGACACCTTAGCATTTACTAGAGGTAATACCTGACCGCCTTACTGCAACGAGACTCACGGGCCCGACACCCGACTATATCACCAATGCTGGTTTTGCAGACCGTCATTCCTTTCCAAAGGCTGCTCATGTCCCACCCTAAGTGGACCTGCGAGTCCACACTGAAGTTTGCATAATGTGAGTTAACAAACGGAGCAACTGAATGCAAACGTTACATCAGCTTAGGGACAAGAACAGCATGCTGTAAGGGACCTGCGAGTCCACCGCAATTGTGGGCCTGCGCGCCCGGTTGGCCGTTATAAAAAAGCTATGCACATGTTGTACTTTGGTTATAGTGCCCTAAAGGCTTACGGAGACCTGCGAGTCTCAATGTGACTTATTCTCGACAATATAAACCGAAATAAAAACATATTTACAAAAAAAAATATTTCAGTTAAAAAGTGCTAAAAAAATACATATATTAATGACCCTCAACACACAGCCAGAGCTGGGCTGGAATGTCTTAGAATGACCCAGTCAAAAATCTAGAGGTCTATGGCCAAACCATTTATTCCAAATATTAACTTTAATTCGGGATCTCCAACATTCGTTCAGCTCCTGGTTCGCTCAGCTGAATGTCGCTGGTGGACAACGATTCTGACAAACAAAAAAAGGGTGCGAAAATGGTCCAGTGTACTAAAAAAAATATATACATAATAAAAATATAATGTACGGTATATATTTTGCAGTACTCTGATAGTCACACTTTTCGCAATGTAGTTCACAGATCAGTTTTTTTTACTACTCCTGTCTATTCCTCTATTGGACCTTGCTCACTTGATCTGTGATTATTGTTATTTCCCAGGGCTGGACTTACTGTATGTACTGACACAAAGTTACCCAACTACTTTGCTATGAAGATTGGTGCTGCCATTATCATTTGTATTCACAAAGCAAATTCATGGAATTCAAGGAACAGAGATAAACTCAGAGTGTCACGGGTTAAAATCTCTTCCCAAATTCAGAGGGGGTATAATATCCTTATACATATAAATTGGGGGCCAATACAAACCACTTTCTGGAAATTATTCATAAACAGGACTATACATAGGACATGAGGTCACGCATTTAGACTGGAAGAAAGGAGATTTAGTATAAGGCAAAGGAAAGTTTTTTTTTTTACAGTAAGAACAATAAGGATGTTGACTTATCTGCCTGAAGAAGTGGTTTTATCAGAGTCTATACAGATGTTTAGACAGCAACTAGATGCATATTTGCAAAACATCATAATCAGGGATATAATTTTTTTTTTTAATTCACAGGGTAATAGCTTCTTGAGCCAAGGAGAGATTGGACTGACACTCTGAGGTCAAGTAAGAGGTATTTCTAGATACTTGCAAAAATGGAAAGTGCTTCAAACTGGGGGGTTTTTTTGCCTTTTTTTTTTTGGATCAATGGCAAAGATAGATTAGAGAAAGGCGGTACTTGATGAATGCACGTCTCTTTTCAGCTATGTAACTATGTAATTGTTGTGAACATTCTTCCTAAGTATTTGAATTGCCATCTTCTGCAAATGAAACAACCCTGCTGAAAACGAAGCAGAGAATGTCTGCGTAAAGATGGCAAAAGTACCTTTTATTTCTGTAGCTTTAAAGATCAGCAGTTGTCATAAAGCACCCAGTTAACTTTAATATGAATTCTGCCCACTTATTTCATTCAGCAATTTGTCGTAGAAACGTTTCATTAACAAAGCCGCTCTTTAAGTCTAGAGAATAATGTTGTGCAGTTAAAGATCAGTGATAGCATTAATCTTTATCACTTTACATCTTAAAGAAAGCATGACCAACAGGTAGACTCCTGAACATTTTAGGGGGAATTATGGGGGGGGGGGAAAAACTCCTTCTCCCATAATGCTATGCCAGATTTTCAAAGAACAAAATTGAAAACCGTTTTATTTGGTATGTTGCCTTTGGAGGTGACATTTTTAACTGCATTGTATGAGTAATATCATAATCCAATCAGGAATGGTTCCAGTATGAAGATAAAATAAATATTGCATACTGTCCGTTATGACATCTCTATCACTCTGCAATATTGAGTTACAAACGACAATGTCTGTGAAATTATTAACTTACAGATAGTTTTACAGCCCCCAGGTCCTGTATGATCATATTTGCTATTCTTAGTTTTTTTTCCTGGATTTAATTGCTGAACTTGACTACAATATACCGACACAAATCAAACAGATAAGATTAAGATAATAAATTGTTGTCAAAACATCGGGCCACTTGAGAATTTTTACGTTCTCGCAAGAAAATCAAATGCAATTTCGAAGATGAACATTTCGAATCAGATTTTCACCCAATTGATACACAAAGTACATTTATCTTTTATTTTGGATGAAACTATTTAAATAAAAATTTAGATTTCAAAAAGGCACCTGATCAAAGGAGGGCTGGCTATATTGGCAACTGCAAATAAAGAGCCTGGTTTGAAAACAAATCAGAAAACTCTATTTCCTTTCTTAGTTTTTAATACAAGTTGTTTTTTTTGTTTTTTTACCAACACTGCAATAACTATAAATAAATTGAGTTGCATAGTATAGTTTAGTATTGGGCTGTGAGGCAGCCAACAATCCTCTCTATGCTAGTGGCCCGGGGGCAACTGCCCCTCTATCCTACCATGATAGCCTTTTCATGGACCTGGACTATCTTACAGTGCCTTAAGGTAGCACATATTACAGTTGGTTTTTTTTTTCAATTTGATTTCTTACATATGCAATTTATTTGTAAATGTTTAAAGGTATGCGTTATCAAGGACTCAATACCATTTTGTCTTTGTAAGTACCAAATCGCTGCCTCCTAAGGTCTGGACCAAATTTCCTGTTCTTAATCCTGGTTGTCACAACAGTTGCCACTGGTGCAGATACACCTGGTCTGGGAGTCCAACCATAGGGAAGGCAAGCCCTTCGCATGATGGATGTTCTAGGCTACAGAAACATTGTGAAATGTAAATTCCTGTACGGACCTAACTCTAGTTCTTCAATGCTATTGTCATCAATTTAACAAGTTATATGTTAAGTATTAATAAAGATGTAACCTACAATAAGATGAGCAAAGGAGACCTATTGATGTTGCACTTTTTAGAAAGCAGAGGAGAAGCATGAACGTCGGCTTGTACAGATGACCTTGATACCTCTTGCTATAAAAAAAGTTTATTGTTTCAGGAAAAATTAAGGTATCAAGCAGTGATTTGGCCTTCTCACTGTCTATAGTGGATGCAGTATATATGTCTTTGTAATATAAAAGTCACAATCTGCACAAAGGGAGCACGCTACAAACACAACTCGAGGTCGTGACTCTGGTGAGGAGACCTCTCTTAATTACAATTTTTACATACCCAAGCTTCCCACGAGAGGCAACCCTATAGGTTTCCTGCCCCTTTTTCTATAATCTATAAATATGTACCAACTTTTTCATTCCTGGCACCAACGTCCAAACTGTGTAGCTCATAGTCAGTCATGTGTATCATGATGAAGAAAGATGAAGTTCACTATTTACAATAGACCAAAAATGACTATTTCCGAGATATTCATTACACAAAAGAAAAAGAGAGAAAAAAAGAAAAAGAAAAAAAAAGGATTTTTTTTCTTTTTAACAACGTGCTTGTTGAAGTCAGTGGCAGGCTCCATGCCGGAGAGCAGTAATGAAACATTCATAATCTCTCTGTGCATGCTTCAGCGGCTGCTGTGATGGCTTATTACACCATAAGGGTGGATTCAAGGTCAAAGACGGCAACCGAGGTGCCCCGTGTATAGCTGGTTTTTCTGCAATGTACAATATATCCGACAAGCAGAGGTCAATGCAGACTAGTTACATTGTTACCTTCTTCTTCAATGTAAATTATGCGCATGGTATAGGTGCGTCCACACACAGGCATACGCATGTAAACATAATAACCGTAACTTGTATTGGCAGGTGGAGGTTTAAAATACTTTTTTAAAAATTTATTTTGTCCCTTTGTAGTCAGTATATACTTTTATCTTTTTCTCTCGATTTTCTTTCATTTATCTTTTATCTGCTTCGTGGTTGATTGTCCTCTCTCTCTATAGGTGAAATCAGTGTCTGATTCACAGTTAGGAAGACACACAAGGTTACATTCTATAATTAAAAGTCTCTATAGAGAAAGAGTCTTAGTAACAGTATAATTGGCGTTTATATAGAAAGCGTCCTATTGGCATTTATAGACTATCAGGTCCATTTAGTAGTGCCTGATTGTGTTTTTTTAATCTTTTTTGAGTTGTGGTAAAATTACAGCAAAATACTATTTATTAACGGGCATCACCACTGAGCTTCAGATCAGATTACAAGTCATTCTTCGAATCTACACACAAGCTCCAGGTCAGCAACAGACTCTATTATTCGGTAGTAACGAATCTACTCGCACCGAGCACTGTTTGCCGTTCAGTGCGGTCACTTAATCACTCACAGTAAAGCTGTGCTACTTGTTTAGCTAAAGACAGCTGAAGAAACGCCAAGTATTATTTGACTTGACTGTGATTCATTTTCCATTTAGACTCCTTAAAGTTTAAAGGGGAATTGTCATTTACAAATATGCATTTGTGAGGTCTGAAAATTAAAATTAAAAGTAGAAATCTATAATGTTATATCTAAATATATCCTGGATCTGGGAGTTTCCATCTTTCAACCAGTTTTATAAATCTTGCTCTTTCTACGTGTCAATCAAACTTGAGAGTGCGTGAGGATAGGAGGTGCAAAAAACAGAGCTGTATGTATATATCATGTCATTCCAGAGCTCCGTAGCAACATTCTGCTATGCTTAAAGCAAATGCATCAAACATGTTATTCAGAAGCCAAACAAGATTGCTCTTGTTTGGCACTGAAGTTAAAGGAACACTCTGAGCATCATAACCACCGCAGCATACTGTAGTGGTTATGGTGCCAGGTGTGCTCTGGAGCCGTCCCTGGGTAAGTAGTCAAAAACCGTTTGCTAATGCTTTGACAACTTGCCTGTGGTCTGCCAGGTTCTTGTCTCAGTCTCTAGGAGTATTTTCATTAACTCCCTTGATTTAAGCACTGCATTGCAGGCCAGCTCATGTCTAAGAGCATTGCCTAAACACTCTCAGCTAATGAGCTAAGTCCTGCACTGCTGGGTGTAGCTTAATGCAGAGAGCATTTGGGTCTCATGAAGGAGGTGACCCAGGGGCCCGTTTGCAGGGCCGGCGCCATTGTTAGGTGAACTAGGTATTTGCCTAGGGTGCCGGCCTGCTGGGGGCACCCACCAGGATGTTTCCTGGTGGGCTGCCCCTGTCTTGGGCCACAGCACTGGACGAGTGACCGATCCTCAATCCTCAGTCCCCAGTCCCGAAAATGGGGGCACCCTGAGGAGCCCTGTCACAGGGGGCCCAGGAGGTGGCTATCTGGCCACCTCAGGGCCCCACTGATGTTGTCCTTCTTAAATGTGACAGAGCAGGCACCTGCTTACCTTGATGGCAGGTGCGTGCTCTGCCGAGTAATCCCAGAGGAAAGGGGGACAGGAGGCAGGGTGCTGTATTGTGGGCGGCGAGGGAGGCTGTTCTTGCAGCTTCTCACTCCTCCCTCGTGCGGCTTCTGTCATTCCGGCCCCGGCATACTAAACAGCACGCTGGAGGAGTGAGAAGCTGCCACACACACTGGACCCCAGGGAGGTAGGGAGGCTGAATTTGCCTCAAAAAAATAAAATTATGTGAGTCTGTGTGTCAGTGAGTGTGTTTTTGACTGTCAGTGAGTGAGTATGTGTGTGTCTGTCAGTGAGTAGGTATGTCTGTCAGTGAGTGAGTATGTCTGTGTGTATCTGTCAGTGAGTGTGTGTCTGTGAGTGTTTGTGTCTGTCAGTGACTGAGTATGTGTCTGACAGTGAGTGTGTGCGTGTCTGTCAGTGAGTGTGCTCATCTGTCAGTGTGTGTGCTCGTCTGGGCTAGTCTTCTAAAATAAAATTCACCAAATGCATTGAATACATAATTTATCACAGCAATAAATTATGTATTCAATGTACAATGTATGTATTAGGCAGTATGTGTGTATGGATATATGCATCAAGCAGTATGTGTGTATGGATTTAGATATTAGGCAGTGTGTGTGCGTATGGATGTAGGCATTAGGCAGTGTGTGTGTATAGATGTAGGTATTAAGCAGAGTGTGTGTGTGTGTGTATGGATGTAGGTATTAAGCATTATGTGTATATGGATGTAGGTATTAGGCAGTATGTGTGTATAGATGTAGGTATTAGGCAGTGTGTGTGTGTGTATAGATTTAGGTATTAGGCAGTATGTGTGTATGGCTGTAGATATTAGGCAGTATTTGTGTATGGCTGTGGATATTAAACAGTATGTGTGTATAGATGTAGGTATTAAGCAGTATGTGTGTATGGATGTAGGTATTAGGCAGTATGTGTGTATGGATGTAGGTATTAGGCAGTATGTGTGTATGGATGTAGGTATTGGGCAGTATGTGTGTTTGGATGTAGGTATTAGGCAGTGTGTGTATGGATGTAGGTATTAGGCAGTATGTGTGTTTGGATGTAGGTATTAGGCAGTGTGTATGGATGTAAGTATTAGGCAGTGTGTGTTTATGGGTGTAGGTATTAAGCAGTATGTGTGTATGGATGTAGGTATTAGGCAGTATGTGTGTATGGATGTAGGTATTAAGCAGTATGTGTGTATGGATGCATGCATTAGGCAGTATGTGTGTATGAATGTAGGTATTAGGCAGTGTGTGTTTATGGGTGTAGGTATTAGGCAGTATGTGTGTATGGATGTAGGTATTAGGCAGTATGTGTGTTTGGATGTAGGTATTAGGCAGTGTGTGTATGGATGTAGGTATTAGGCAGTGTGTGTTTATGGGTGTAGGTATTAAGCAGTATGTGTGTATGGATGTAGGTATTATTAGGCAGTATGTGTGTATGGATGTAGGTATTAAGCAGTATGTGTGTATGGATGCATGCATTAGGCAGTATGTGTGTATGAATGTAGGTATTAGGCAGTGTGTGTTTATGGGTGTAGGTATCAAGCAGTATGTGTGTATGGATGTAGGTATTAGGCAGTGTGTGTTAAAGGACCACTATTGGCACCCAGACCACTTCAGCTCAATGAAGTGGTCTGGGTGCCAGGTCCATCTAGGATTTACCCTTTCTACTGTAAACATAGCAGTTTCAGAGAAACTGCTATGTTTACCTATGGGTTAATCCAGCCTCTAGTGGCTGTCTCATTGACAGCCGCTAGAGGCGCTTCTGCGCTTCTCACTGTGATTTCCACAGTGAGAAGACGCCAGCATCCATAGTAAAGCATTGAGAATGCTTTCCTATGGACTGGCTGAATGTGCGCGCGGCTTGTGCCGCTCATGCGCAATCAGCCGATGACAGGGAAAGGAGGCGGAGAGCGCCACAGCCGATGGAGCCCAGCGGTGGAGAAAAGGTATGTGTTTGACCCATTCCTCACCCTAGAGCCCGGCGGGAGCGTTTTCCTGGCACTATAGTGGTCCTTTAATGGATGTACGCATTAAGCAGTATGTGTGTATTAGGCAGAAGGAACTGAAAACCATATGTCAAAATCTAGGCCAAAATGTAGAAGAATTCTACAAACAGTTCAGCTGTTTTTGCTTAAACTTTGCAATTTGGTTTTCAACTCACTGCAATTCAGAGTTTTTGTGAATAAACCTCTGTGAGATTGTATTTGCTTTCATGAGTGGGTGGCAAAATGGATCTTTGCTAGGCCGGCATAGATCCTTGCACCAGCCCTGCCCATTTGCAAACGGTTTGACTACTTATCCTGGGAGGGCAGCTGTACACTTCTGGCACTAGGCACTTTAGTTGTTATGGTGCTTGGAGCCTTCCTTTAAACCTATCTGAGATCATTTCCCTAGGATATAGAAAACCAATAATAACTCTGCACATGAACAAGCATTGTTAACAGTAATTTTTGCACATGCAGAGCTGGCAACACATGTACCAGCACAAACGTTTCACAGACAGACATGTATGCTTTACAATCCCCAACACTGTGCATCCAGAATTAGAACATGTATTATGGGGAGGTATGGCAGATCTATTCATTCTATGGGTGCATGAAAAGGTGTTCTTCATGTAGAGAACAATAGCTATACATTGTTACATCCAATATAGAACTCAAAATATACCTACATGTAACCTAAGATTATGGGTCTGAGATGTCCTCTCCTATGCACGCATACAATTGCGTATTTTTCGCTCTATTAAAGGCATTGCTAACTCTGTATTACAGCCATGGTCCTGGATGCTCTCAGGATTATTTATGAAACAAAGTATTTTTGAAACTTCTAAGTGAAGTCAAGATTTGGGCAAATTAGTCAAACTAGAAAAATTCTCCAGGTCAATTCTGTTTCCGTTTCAGGTATTTTGGCCTTAAATTTGAAATTCACCCTAAATTCTCTTTTTAGTTAATAATCCTGTCCATTGATCAGGAAACTATGAAATTATCAGGGAATATGGAAATTTATAAAATCCTCCATCTCCGGGAAGGTCAAGGACATAATTCATAACATTTTTGTTTCATAATACGGACGCAATGCTAACCATAACAACATAGACATCATGTGAGGTAAAAGCAATGAGTATACCATAACCACAAATAAGTCGTTACATATAGACAAATTAACCAGACAAGTCACATTTCAGAACTCCAATGTATCCGATTCATAGAACAAACAGGAAAGTCAATTAGCAAAAGCAAAACCCCCTGAAAACTCCCTCCCACCCCCTCAAACAAAACCCCCTCGACTGTTGTATATAGTAAAAGATTCTCCTCAACCTAAAAACGTGTGCAGACACTTAGTCAGCCAAGTATCTGAGACGAACCCCAGGAGGTCCTAAGATGAGTAAATGTTACTTGTATTTTTTAATTAAGTACATCCAGTTACAATTTGTATTTTAAAGGGCTATTTTGATAGCCAATGTTTTAATAAAGGCACCCCACTGTTGAAAGTACATTTTTGGGGGTTTTGAAGGAGATCGTCTTTAATTTTCTGCAGCAAGACGTCTTTCCCCAACGGGCCAGCTTTAATAGCTGCTAAATATGAAGTCCTTTGCAACTAAGGGATCTATTCACTAAATGCTGAGCGGCAACCGAACAGCAGCCGGATTCAGGTCATTTGTCACAGTGCATCTGTTTTAAACTAACGGACCCCCATTCAGCTATTCCTGAAAGACAAATTTAATTATTTCCACTGAATTTGCACTTCTAGTCGGCTGCAGTTCGACTGTCTCTTGAATATCCATATAACTTAAGTAATTAAAAAACAACTAAATTCCTTTATTTATTTGTTTAAATTCCCCCCTAACTCTAAGTCATCCTAACATTCCCGCAACCCCTTTGACACAGGAGAAATCCCTGATACGAAATCCTTCCAAATACAACTCTTACTTTAGTGGCTGCAATTTGATTATTTGTCTTATAGTGAATACGGTGAGTTCTATCAACCAAATGCTGGAGAATTGAGTGGATAGAAGTAATCAATTTTGCTTTAAGACATTTGACATGTAGCGAAAATACCTAGAGATTTCTTCAGCAGTGAAATTGGTAATGATGTGCACGTTGGCCCACACAATCTGAAGAGAACAGGTTTGCTCTATGGAGGAGTTCATTGCAGCTCTCACAACAAAAAGTTTTAAAACCCGACTGCATAGTGCTAACTGTCAGTTTGACTGGAGGAAGTGTAATGTTTAGGGTTAAAGCCCCTAAGCTCCGGTTAATGCATACAAACTCATACTAGGTGAATCTGTGCTTGTAACATTACAGAAACAGTTTGGTGAGTAACAAACGCATCTTATCGGAGGACTGGCATGAAAAAACTGGCCTACAGAAGGCTCAACTCTTATCAAACACAGTAGAGATGAATTGATGCCTCATGGCAAACTAGGTCATCAGCAATGTTCTAAACTCCAGTAGCACACCTTCCGGAGAAGAACGGAACCAGTTAAAGCAATAAGGGAGAACCACTACCATACTGATGCCTGTGATTTTGAATTCAAATGTTCGACTAGTTGACGTCCATATACATTGGCCATGAAATGGTGGAAGCGCCTCAACAGTATATATACTGTAAATATAACATAGATAAACATATATCCATAGGCACTTACATGTTGTATATGATCCGCTACCTATTGACCTATTAAAGAATCAGATTGTTTTAAGACGTTTTACAAAACCCCTTTCAACCTCACACGCATGCACACAAACCCTGACTGATTGATTTTGAAGTGAAATGTTGGCATCTGCTGTTATTCAGAAGCAGGACCTCAGATACTTCTCCGCCACCAGGCTTTCAGCTCTGCCACCAGCGTGCTGCAAATGAAGGCAAGCTGTTGTCAAATGAGAAAATGCAAAATAGTCAATCTGTTTGTCTGTTTAATGTAACTGGGAACATAAGCTTCAAAAAAATGCTACCATTCTGCACTGTCAGATGGGAGACACTCAAGTACAAACGAAAGCCTAATGACCCATTTTACTCAGGCGCTGTGGATTCCCTTCTAATGGTATTTTCCATATGCACTTCAACATGCTTTTATCAGCAACTGCAAATGGTACTATTCTCTCTGTAGCACACCCTTGTAATCTGTGCGCTTTTTTTATTTTTCTTCCCATTGGCACTGTGAAGGAATACCGATGCTCAAGGAAGTCTTGAAAAAGTGGGCATATTGCTCAAACATCTGATTGCCCTCTCCTCCTCACACCTGTCATTGCTCTGTATGAAAAGGGGAGGAGGGGGTGTGAAAAATTCCCAATCATTAAACATGATAGATACGTTTTTAATAAGAAAGCACTGGGCCTCTCCAGGCTCGGAGATAAAGAAGAAAGCCTGGAGATATCTTTGTAACATTGAATACAGCGAACGAGACAGTTATTCTATTTTTCGGTGCAATCCTCAGCATTGCTAGGACAGAAATAAAGATATGGTTTATCTAAACATCCAAGTAGCTATTGTCGTGCTGTGTTCTTTTGTCATATTCCCTCACTGAAATGATCGTAGATTTACTGGCAGCTAATTCCTGGCCTTTTATAAATATCGGAGCTTCCTGATGCTCATGGTGAATACAGCATTTTATTTCCCAGAATTCATATTGATGACATAATAAGTTTTTTTTTTTAGAATAATTTTTTTCTTGCTCATCATGCATCGGATAATAAAGGAATGGGTTCAGGAGAAGATTAAATTCAACTTATGGATGTCAATGTATACTGTTGCTTGGATCACCGTTACAAAACCATTAATTATAGACTTCTTCGTACGTGGACAACATTTTGGAAAAGTCGTTCACACTGACCACCTTCAGCCTATCACAGCCCCTTTTGTTGGTATGAATTGGTATGGCTAGAAAGGTGTGTAATCTCAATGCCTACAGTACAAGCCAGGCTGTGGGTGGCCAGGGACACCAATTTAGTGTTACATTATTCAAACACAGCTTAACACTGAATGGAGGACTCCAGGCACTATAACCAATTTAATAAGATGAAGTGTTTATAGTGCCTACATCATCTCTTGAAGTGGAAGTGCAAGAGCAGAGCAGTCAGCTGCCTGCTGTTCTTTAACAATTTAACCCCTTCAGGTAAGACGGCACCTTAGAACTCCTCGCACCATAACAACTTCCTTGTGATGAGGTTGTTATTGTGCCTGGAGTGGTCCTTTAAGCTTGTGTGTCCCATTTATTTTTATTTTTACAAGTAAATGGGATACTCCTTCCAGCTCTGTTGAATACAAAGAAATATTTTATATAAAAAAATAATAAAAATAAAAATAAAAATAAAAATAAAAACAACAATCCGATGGGTTTTCAGTCTGGTCTGCACGTCTTCTTTCTTCCATGGAAAGCAGTAAGTATGCAGGTGTTTGCTTGTTTATGCCAAAAAAAGTAATTACAAATGGATATTTGTGGTTTTGGTACCTGGAGTGTCCCTTTAAACTATCAATGTTCCCATGGATACACAGGGTACAAGGAAGCCAAATTACTCCTCTATATTC